TTACCTTTCCCAGAGGAAAGAGGGTGATAGCCTGTTCTGTGAAGCTCTGTCAAATAGCAGCAGTAAAATGTGGTAGAAGATTTCATATGAAGGTTTTTGACATCAGTTTGAACAAAATTAAACCAATTTAATGTGGCGGAACATTTTACTTATTAAGCAGACAAGACAAATATTTGGTGTGTCATCTTAAACACTTTGTGTATTGAGTATTGGCTTGCTTGTGAAACCTGACTTCTTTTAAAGGTGATGCTTTCATTAAACTCTTCTTTAGGAATCTTCAGTCAAAGCATCTGAAGCTGTAAAAATGAAAGGAACATTTGTGTTGAAGTTCTAACCCTGTTGAGGTCTTTGGGAGCCTTGCCATGAGTTTGACGAGAGGTGTGATTTCACTTGTGAGGGCTGTGATGGATCTGCTCGGTCGGTGAGCACCAAGTCCCACGAGAGTTTGCTGGAGAAGCTGCAGTTACGTGAAGCACAGTGATTCAGGAAGAGAGAACTTCCACCAGCATGAGAGGCAGCTTAAAGTGTAGGATGATTCCTACTTGTGGGTTTTTTTTTCAAAATGACAATACTAGACATTAACTTGGTAGGGAGGGAAAATGGACCAAAAATCAGGAATTTTTTGCATGCTACTTTTGCGAACTATTTTCTGCCCTTTGAGATTTCTACTTGAAGCTTAGTTTAAAGTAATGCTTTTGTGGCACTTTGTAAATGTTTGCACCCAGAGTGTAACAACCATCTTGCCCTGTGTCAGTGGTAGAATTCAGAGCTGTTGCTTTGATGCAGGCGAGGTCTGTGTGGCTGACTTGTGTGAGGCAGGAGTTTGTCAGTAGGTATTAGATGAGCAGATGTTGTGTTTGTGTCTGTTGTCTTTAGTGCAAATACTTCTCCACAGCAGCTCCAGGTAAACAACCACCTTCCTGCTTCTGTAAAGCCACAACCTGACTGCTGACCAGGGTGAGAACCAAACCTGGCCTTAAAGAGTCTGCACTAAATATGGAACTAGTTAAGGTTTCTCTGGAAAACAGAGTCATTTAAAGCTCTGTTGCATTTGCTGTTATTTAATGGATTTACAGACTGAATAATTTTCCATGGTGACTGAGAGGACACAATGTGTGAGGGCAAAATGTGATCTTACAGAAAATAATTGGTTCCAGTAGTTTAGGAAATACAGTATGGAATAATGGAATTAAAAATGGAGAAAACGAGGTAGCGCTCTTTGGAAAGGAAGCTGTGGAAGTCGCTTTACTTTGCTGTCTTTTAAGCAAAGCTCTTATCCACGTGGGCAGCCTGACGTTGCAGGGGTGTGGGGTGCAGAGCAGAAGCTGGAGCTGTCCCTCCCAGAGTGTTTCTGTTGCAGGCGCCTTACAGAGCTCAGCACAGCTCACGCTGCAGCCGCCGGCTGCAAACCCGCCCTGGCTGCGGGGGCATTTCCCGGGTGAGGAACAGTGCCGCTGACTGACTGGCAGCCTGTGGAGAGCCCTGGTCTGCACTCTGGATTTGTGTGCAGGCATTGCTTCCCTGGGAAGGACTTCCTGGCCCACTGCTTCAGGGGAATGCCCCAGTTCAGAGCATAGGTGCCAGCAGGCAAAAAGCTGCAGGATGCCCAGAGGCACCTTGGTGAGGTGTAATGGCTCTTACTGCAGTGTGATGGCTCAGCTCCGTGTCATCTGTATTTTTGTGCCTGTTAGTTTAACAGTGATGTGGGGGAGTTTGATGCACGGTTGCCATCAATTAACTCTTCACAGCTCCAAGTTTGTGACAAATCCAGTTTCTGAAACCTCATTGAGGGGAGGGAGCAACTGGCAACGTGCAATTCATATTACATGATACACAGCATATGAACCTTACAGATGTTTTTGAAACAGGTAATTGTAAAATTTCTTTTTTGTATATATTCTTTATTATAAATTACTTCAGTGTTACCGTTGCTCAATACAACTGGTGGAAAATGTTCTGTGCTCTCCAGTGAGCATCATCTCACTGGAACACAGTCATAAAGAATCTTTGTTGTGGCTTGGCTCTACATCATCTTGAAGAAGAGTATAAATTTCTTTGGGGAAAAAAACCCAAAGCAAAATTATATCATTGATTATATCAAAATTATATCACTGATTCCAGATTAGCTGTATTTTTTTAGTCAGGAATTCTATCTATAGTTATATTTTGTCCTTCAAAGTGTTTTGCAGCATTGTAAGGATGCTAGAAGCATCTCTTGCTGAAGTAAACACTATCCTCAGTCATCAGCCTGAATACCCTAGGGGTTGTGGCACAGTAACACAGCACTTCATTGGCCTGTGCTCTGACTCCACTGAAAGCTATTGCAGCACCCTTTCCTCAAAGAGGAAATGTGCTGCAGTTGATCACCTCTGTAGATCAGCTCTTTTTCCCATGACTTTATGCTCGGCTGTGCTTGATGATGCAGTTCCTGGTGTTCCCTGCACAGAGTGTGATGGCAGTACTGCCTGCCTGCCTACAGTTTGGGGCAAAGCACATCCTGGATTTGAATCATTTTAGTATTACTAAAAATATATTTCTCTCATTTTTTCTTGCTAGTTTCAAATTTCACAGGGGGGGTAACCTGGAGGGAGAAGCTCCAGAGCGTGTAGTGAGGTGTGAGCTCCCATCACTACACAAGATCTGCTGGCACACAACAGCTGCAGCCACGCGTACTCATCCCATTGTGCTTCCTCCCTCCTCTGCCTTCTTACCAGGTAGTTGCTGCGCTGTTGGACATTCCCTGCATGAGTGGCTGCAGAGAGCTCCATGGCTGATGTCCCTTGGCTTGCTGGATCAGGGAATGTGTGTGCAGGCTGCAGAGCGCGGCAGGGGCAGTGAGCTGAGGGAACCTAAAGATTGCTTGGTGTCCTGCGTGGCAGAGGGTGCACTCTGCAGCTGGATGTTTCCCCTAAGGGGATGAATGAGGGGCATTTTGCAGAGGGGTTTGAGTTTGTGAATTTTTTTCAAGTGGCAGATGATTCAAGGCTGATTTTAATGAATAAAGTTATCACCAGTTTGTTTGTGGTGAAAGGGCAGTATCTTCTTAAATTACCAGTACTTCAGAGCCATCTTGGTTTCAGAAGCCTGCTTTTTTTCACCTGTATCACAGTTGTCACTTGGGTCTTGGCTCCTCCCTGTTTGTGATAACCAGAGAGAAATCTGAGCCCATAGCTTTGAAAAATGCTGATTTACTGCAGGTGAATAGAAGTGCAATATTAGAGTAACAAAAATCTCATAAGGGTGAACCATGGTACAGTCTGTCTCCTGCTGTGATGTTGGGTGGCTGTTGGACAGCTGGTCTAAGGTGGATTTCCTGCAAAATGCAGTCTGAGTGGATATGGAGGTTTTGTTCCTCAGGGGTTTTGAGCCCACATGTCCACAGGAAAATAGTTGTCCTGTCAAACAGTAAATTTTTCCTTTACACTAATGTCTGGTTGTCCTGGCCTCTGGGCAACACACTCTGTGTTTTTATTGTTTACAACAGAGTTACATGGTGAATCACAAGGTCTGAAACGCATTCTCTAGGAGAACTTGCACCCTCATCCCGGTTTTCCTGCTGGCTCCTGTGAAGTTTTAAGCAACTGACCTGCAACTAAACTCATAGATGACCCACAGCACATCAAAAATGGAATCCCTCACCCCAACCCACATAACCTCAGTGCCTGCACTGTACGGGGTGTGTGTTGTACTTCCCCACTACCAAGTATCACTCTATTGTTATTAGATATATTTGTTTCAATCATCCTCTAGGAAAAGCCCTGCAATGCCAGGTTTAGGGCTTGACACCAGACCCTGTGAAGCTACTTTCCTAGTCCTCAGCCTGATTTTTTTGTAAAAGGGTCTGGAATTTACAGTGAACTCTGACTTCCATGAGTTATTTTCTATCATCACACTTGCTACTGCACCAAATGATCAAGAAATGCCTGGCTATATTTGACTGATGCTCCTTGTAAGAAACTCGGTGAGTTTTAAATATCTTCAGAACGTTAGGACTAATTATATGACAACCTGCTGCTAAAATTTGTGTTTGACTCCTGCAGTAATTTGTGTTGGATTTGGGTTAGCACTCTGGGTTGGAAAGTTTACCACGTGTAATGGACACTGACTTTATTGCTGTCAGCCCCTGTACTTCCTGCACAGTGCAAGGCAGTGAAGATCAGGTTGAGCTTTACTGTTGGTGGGCGAGTCTGGGAGTTGTGAGTGATATTGGAAGAGTCAAGTTTCTCAAGCTGCAGATCCCAGCCTGTGCTTTGCCAGAGCTTCATCTCCTTCTATTCAAGTAGTTACGTGTGCTCTTAGTGGTTTTCTTACTAACTTAGTGATTAGAAACTTTAAAAAAAAAATCATAGACACTCCTTTATTTTGAAACCTGCTGCATCTAATTAGTACTCTTTAGTTACTGAAATTGGTGATATATTTTATTGTCCTTACTGTCATCTCTACTATTTATCAAGAATTGATCAATGTGAATTATTGTAAGGTTTATGAAAAATGTTGCCAGCATAGCTCCCTAACTGTAACTCTCATACCCGTGCCACCCTTACCTACGGAGGTACCTCATGAAGGTACAGTGGAGGTAACTCTTGGAAGCAAAGGGATGCCTGGAATTTTGTTCCCAAGGCAGGCCAGCTCTCCTGCACTAAAAACTCCCAAGGGTGTTTCAGTGAAGCTGCTCCTTAGGTCGGTCATGTGTAGGGCACACCCACGGGTTTCAATCCTGCCCCGTTTGCTTCGCACAGCAGTATTCCACTCCTGCCCTGAACCCCTCGATGTTTTGCAAGTCGCAGGGTGAATGGATTCTGCCACCTGCATTTGTTTTTTCTAGCTTGGAGCACCTGCAGTCTGGCAAGGCAGGGTGAAGACTAACTTAGATGTCAAGGAGGGGTCACCCAGACAACACAGGACAAGATAAATGCGTGTGTGCAGAAGGAACAGGAGCTACCTTGCTTTCCAAACCACACCACTTGAGCCAGAGTCATTTAAAACCAAACACTGCCAGCTGAGAGAAAAGAATTTATTAGAAACTGTTAGACACTACACGAAACTAAATTGTATTTTTTTCAGTAGCCAGCACTCCAGCCTACATACACAGTGCTGTGGACTTCAGACAGCCACTGTGCTTGTAAGGTTTATCTTTAGAATGAGACATTCAAGCAGCATGCACAGTGAGAAAGAGGAAGGGGTGCAAGGAAAAACCTTTTGAATTGCATAAGTTCACAGAAGGTACACTTTAGTAATTGATTTCCACAAGGCAGTTTGGATTGAAGGAATCGCCACTACCATGAAAGCAGCACAGGGGCTCAGCTCCCCACCTCTGCCCTCAGAGCTGGTGCACGTTGGGACGTTTCAGTAGAAGGTGTTTCAATAAACAGAAATACACCTTCCATTCTATGGGAACACAACCAGGACTCCGAGATTGCTCCCCTTCTCAGGCAGCTGCACCAGCAGAGACCTCGCTGCTTTTCAGGAGAAACAGGAGCAGAGTCTACAGATTAAGGCAATGCATTTCTTTAATTCAACATAGAAATTGTAACAAACTGCATATTTTCTGATAAATTCTGAAGTATTTAATTGTAAAAAATAAAGTTACTGATCACATTCTATTCTATCTTCTATTCTGCGTTAGGTTTTAAAATACAGTGGAGCATCACTATAGTCACTGCCCCAACAACGTGGCAGCCAGTGACAGCTTCTCTTCCACCCAGCAGCTGCAAAACAAGAAACTAATGACCCCTCCCCTTCTCCCAATTCAAATCCTCCCTTGTTTCTTCCCACCTCCTCCAATTTCCACCTCTCTTCCAAAAGAGGAAAAAAACCCCCTTGAAACACTTATCTTACTCCTGAAAGGAGCTTTATAGCAAGGCTCAACTGTATAGACTAGAACAAGATATAAAAAGTGATTAAAATCCAAAAATTCAGAGAAGGAAAATGTAATAAAGTACGCATGGCGTGATAAACCAGGATACACATAGCAATTTGCTACATTTTTCAAAAAGTGCTAACCAATTTTAGCTTAAAATAATTCAAGAGATCTTACAAATTGCTATCATAGTGTAAAACTGAGTATACTGAAAAGTCTAAAACCTGACTTGACTGTAGAAAATGTATTATATCTGTTTCTAATTTACATAGCATTTGTATTTAGGCACACAAAAATAAATATAGACAATCAAATGCTTCATTAAGTCTGCAGAAAGTTATAGTTAAAACCAAGCAATCAACTGTTGTGGCAAACCACATTTTTACATCTCTCTACCCTACGTGTGTGTTACACAGGGGTGGATATCCCTTATGTCATCCTCAGGCTTCTGAAAAAGTTACTTAGAAGGTGAGACTGTTTTCTGCCAAAACCAGGTAATTTGGGAACTACTTGCTACAAAGATAAATTTCTCAGAAAAATCAACTGATGCTTTCTGTTAAAATGTTTTATTCCTGCTTCTGGGCCAGGAGGCTTTGGGCTGGAGTGGAAGCCAGGCTGAGCCAACACCAAAGGCTGTTATGGCACAGCATGACCGGAGGGTTGTGTGACAAGATTTTAATAAAACTGTGTAAGAGTAAGGGAACAAATCAGAGCAAGGCTCCTTTGAGAGGGATCTCAAGCTGTTCTTTCGCTAAGGAGCACATGGTGATCTCAGTATTTCATCAACCCTCCCTGCTGCTGCCTCAGTAAAACTGCTCTTACCTGAGGTGTCAGCTTTTCCCAGGCGCACCCAGTGACCCCACAGCTGTTTTTAGAATGCCTGTGGTACCTCTAATAACTCTCCCCAGGGCTCAGGGAAGCAGGAACACTTGGCTTCCTGTGGCACAGGCTCACCAATACCAGTCTGGTGATTCATGCCGCAGTCCCTAACTAATGGAGAAAGCTATTATGCAACTGAGACTGGCACAACTGGCAGTCTCTGGTCAACCGGGAACCTAACAATAAATTCCAGCTTTCTTGATTTTACTTGAAGAAGAAACTTTTCTGTTTCTGAACTAGCTTTACTACACTAATTTCCTGCTAGCCTAAGGGCACAACCTGAGCTGAGGTTAGCAGTGTGTGGTGATTGAGGGCTTTCAACACATAAAAATTATTCAAGTTATCCCACTATCTTGAAACAAATTGAAAAACATCACAAACAATACCAAGCAGCATAATTTTTATTTGGTGTTACAACAGCTGTGCAGCACCCATGCTTTTGGGCACCACATTTTACTGTTTATGACTTTTCTTTTTGAAATCTAAACAGTTGTGTTCAGACAACTCTATGTGCTTTTTTAATATACACATTGTGACCCCTGCATTCAGCCTGTCCAGTTAACACTAGAAATATTTGTCAAGGCAATTAATTATTTCACCTTTGCTATAATTAGGGAGCAATCAAAAGAAAAATTTTACTTTAATCTGACTGATCACATGTACTGTACATACCTGTTCCAAACCCAATGTACTCAAAGGTTCTAAGTTAATGCACTCTCTTATTCAAGTCAAAATGCTGTACATCTAAGTATCCACACAATCGTACATTCCTAATGATTCTTCTTTACACCTTTATTCTTTTTAGAAATCTGTTTTAAAAAGGAATAAAGAAGTTGCCCTGAAGATCTATATTTCTTTAGAACAAAACATTATACACTACCTTGAAAAATAATTTTATCAAAACCAAATTCAAATCACTGTCATGTACAATTTTTAGTTAACGGTTCACATTGAAATTGCACTTTGCAGATAGAATAAAACTAAAAAATGAAAACATATTCTATTTCCTTTCACAGGAGACTGCCTCTTCAGGATTTTTCTTCCGTGAATGCTTGTATTTGTCTACATACGCTTTCACTAGATTTGCCACTTTTGCAGAATTAACTTCTCCGCTCTTGCTATGACAAACCTGCAACAGTTTAAACAAAAACACTTGAAACATTTCCATTGATTTGCCACAGTCCCACATTATTCATTTATCTCCTGACACTTGTGATTCTTCCATCCCAGGTAAAACATATTTTAAAAGTCATAATACTTTCCGATTGCTTCCCAAGTACTTCTGAATTCCCATTCAACTTTTCCACACAATAACCAGATTCTGTTCTGAGAAGCCAAAGAAAGCTCTTGTGGATGGAGAAAGAAGAAAGGTATTTTTGCTTCTCCATCTTCCCCCTTTCCAGCAATTATAAGCTGTTCCCACAATAATGACAAACCCACCCCAAAGCTTGCTCCAGGTGAAATGTGTGCAGCTTGGATTATTGGACCAACTTACTTTATCTACAGCTTTCCGCACAATTTCTTTGTATTCCTCCTTAGTGATATCTTTGTTTTGGTAGAAAGGTTTAATTGCGAGCTTGACCTCTTGTGCTGCTTTTTCTTGAATTAACAATTTCTGAAGAGAAAACAAACTTGAGCGTTATATTCCGCTGCCTATGTATCTTTATCAATCACAAATTAAAACTTTAGAGGAAAAAGGTTGCTACAGAAGATTAGAAAACCACCCCCACCCCTGCTCCCCCCCACATTTCAGCTCTCATGGGAGCTGCTGTGCTCTAAGAACAGAACATTTTCCCACAGCAATTCAAGTAATATTCGTAACAGTGCTGCTTTAAAGAAGACTACATTAAAGAGTCAGAGGCTAATCTGTGTCCTCTGACTGCCACAAAAGTATTACATACATGATGGTATGGAGTATGTTACACTGAAGGGTTATTGTCATAACTTGCTATTTTTCAGTACATCAAAATGAATTTATATAAAAAATTAAAATGTATATGTTTTAATGGAAATATATAAACAGTGTATATATAAATACATGCTGAACTTTGAACTTGCCTGGTCCTTCTTCGAGCTATCTGCACTGGCTTCCACTGTTACACTTGCTTTGTTTTCTCCCAATTTTACAGCTGCGTTAGAGCTCTTCATGTGACCTGATGATGTTGCATTACCCGAATTTGGTCCCTGAACTGTTCCCACGTTTCCCAGGACTGCTGCTGGAGCAGGCAAAGCTGGAGCACTCACGCTGTTACTTACATGAGAAGCATTTGGAATACCCTGTTTTAAAAAGTTACCAGTAGTTAATACGTCATTCTATATGGCAATGTGCCTTTCTAGGAGTCTCAGCTGCTCTAGAACAAGCACAATAATCACATGCTTTGGTTCATTACCTAATTTCCACACTGCCCGTGATTACGGAAGGTACACACATTACATTAGATCTACTCAAAGAAAAAAACAAAAAGAAAAGCTTGAGAAGTAAAGCATCTTCCATGTCACCAAAGTGGCTGCCATTTTCTAGCCCTGATCCCAGTAATCAAATAACCTGCAAACCGGCACCAGGGGTGCTAGTACAGGGGGAAGGAAGTTTATGGCTGCAGAATCAATCTGATTTACAAAACGGAACTGTGATAAGTAAACATTTTCTAAAAAAATCAGCACATAAAAACACAACCAAAAGGTACCCAAAGCCATTTACTTGCATTCCTGCATCATAATGATGCTGCTTTGAAAACATCTATTTTCATGTTTGTTATCAGCTTGAACTTGCACATATAAATACACAGGTAAGAGATGAAACATTGTCTGAAGTACCAGGATCTGTTTTTCAGAAAAAGCCATTTTCTGGCCATTTCCAGACATAACCAAAAGACGCTATACATACTTTTGAATTGAGAAATTAAGTAGCTCTCAGACTTCAGATAGAAGCCATTTTTAGAAAAATCCCAGAACATCCTCCTGACATGTTTCTGGCAGGCTTCTCTAAACACTGCTTTTTTGCAGGTCATCACCATTACTCTTTACACATCTACATTTATCTAAATGGAAAATAACAAAATGGAGCTGAGCTCTCTGGAGAGGACAGAGAAATGGAACTGTTATAATCAGCATGCTAATGCTCACCAGTATGCTCTCTTCATTTTCCTTTCAACAGGAAGGACAGGTGGTGTCCTGCAGTATTCAGTCATTTCTATTGTGCTACTGAGGGGTTGTTGAATGAAAGCTCAAAGAAAAAGCAGCAGCAGCTGCAAGAGCATTCAGGTTCATGGACACTGGTCCACAGAAGCAGGTAAGAACAAGTGCAATGGGCTTTACAACAGGTAACTGCATTTGCAGCAATACACAATCTTTACAGTAACATATTTATTACTGCATTAGATACTCATTTCAGAGGTTTGAAGCCTATGTTGTGTCTTCTTACATTTTTGGAAGTTAAATCTACTGGATTTCCAATTGCAAAAATATTTTAATAAAGACAGGAGGAATTAATTAAATTAATAAGCAATCTACCAGGGTTTTAGTTCCAGCACTACATTGTTGGTTTACTTTGCAGTGTATTTCATATGGCCTGTAATCCCACTCAGTATTTCCCACAGCACTCAACTCTCCTTGTTCTGAGTTAATGAATATGAGCAGATGACAGCAGTGAAAAGTGAGAACAATGTAGGCCATTTATCAGTTCACTTCAGATCTTTAGAGATGATGCATGAAAACAGAGGGCTAGAAATCGTTTGTTCACTTTTTCAACCTGGAATGTAGGGGAAAGTGGTTTAGGTTAGAACAGGCAGCAGCAAAAGAAAAGCATAAACCCTAGTCAACTCCTGAAGAGCCTTTTACTTATCCTAAACGTAGCATTACACCTTCTTGTAGCACCATGGGTTCTCCTCCAAGTTGTTCACATTCCTTTCCTTGATACAAAAGCTCTTAATATAAACAGCTAGCTACAGGAGGAGCTCACATACGCCAGAATTGTTTTAAAGGTATCTTGAGAGTCCTTAAAAGATGGTCTGACCTGCCCTAAGCATGGCAGAGTCTTTTTGAAACTGGAGAAATAAAATGGGAGTTAGGTCTCAAACAGGGCATGCAAAACCAGGAGAGTCAGGTAAGAAGAGGGAAGTAAAAAACACTTAAGAGGCCTCAGAAATTATTAATAAAAAGGCTCAAAAGATTAAACAGAATAAAAAACATGTGTGGGGAAGCCACTGAGATCGTGACAGCTGGAGAATGGAAGTGTGGAACGAATGAGTGCCATGCAGTATTTGGCAATTTTCCTCTGCTGATAAGACCCCCACAGAATGAGAACTGCAACACAGGAGTTTAGATCACTTCCTGCATGCTGCTGAAAGGGTATTCAAGCATTTCCTAAAATGCTTTAAAATCAGGTTTGGAAGGGCAAAATTTAGTTTTGGAAGCAGTTCACTTCTAAGATAGAAAAGATAATGGACAACACTGATGAAATTTTTCAGTGTTCCATTACCACAGAAACACAGTTATGATGTTTTATGTTATTATTTAAAAGCTACAGTCTCTGAACAACCCATATGCTCATGGATGCTTCCACTTCAAATTTGATACAGGGTGGAAGAAAACAGGCAAGAGAGAAAGAAACTGCAAGTATAAATTTATGGTATTCACGATAAAAAAATCCTTAACTGGTCTTATTTCACTACTGTTCTTGCCATGGCTTCTGATAAAGCATACCTGCAATTGTTTTCCATCTTGCTGTGAAGCAATGTAGTTGACTTGTTGAGATGGTGGGGGTGGAGGTGGAGGCGGAGGTAATCCCTGAGAAATATTTGTGGGAGCAGCTACCTGTATGAGAGGCACTCCGGTAGGGAGATGCATGGGCATTGGAGGGTGGATGTTGAAAGGATTTCGTTGCATATTCATCAGGGGAGGATGGACACCCACTGGATACGGGAAGATATTCATAGGTTGGTGCTGTGCATTCACTTGTGGCATTACATTCATTTGTTGCTGCATCATATTTATTGGTAACTGAGAACCATCACTTTGCTGGTTGCCTTGGTCTTTCAGGTTTGGATCTGCCAAAACAAAAACCAGACAGTATATCAAGAAGAAATTCTGTACTTAATAAAGCAAAAGGGCAGCCAGGTGTCTAAACTCTTAATTAAAGATGGATTATCAAAAAGCTTTCTATAACCTGAGTATTTTCAAGATATTGCATGGCACTCACCACTGTACATGCCATGAAACCAAATGCAGGCTTCCAGGTTTAAAAAGTTCAGGTTACTATGAAAGCCTATGTTGTGAATTTGTTTTCTCTACTTGTTCCCATAACACAGCCAATAATTATTTCATCACAATGAAACTACAATTTTTCACCAAAGAGCAGGAAGTAAACATAATTTACCCATTTCTGCAATTGCAGAAGGTTAGTCACACATAACTACATCAGAAAGTCTCTGCTCCAGACTCACTGTACAGTTCTGGTAATTACAGAAATACTCTGTTGGGATTTTTCACACCGAGAAATAAGTCATCCTCAAACCATTGAGGAGATATTCATTTTAGGAAAGAGTTGTTCTAAACCCCCTTAATAGTACAACAGGTAAAACCTAGAAGTAAAAATAACCTCTTGGAGTAGTAGGTAGCACTTCTTAAATTACTTTGATATCCCTTCTTCTCTTCAACAGAGGCCAGTAAGTTAAAATCCAGACATAAGCAGCAAGCCTTCCAGAAGTCAAGAAATTAGTTTGGAAAAATGATTGATAAGCAAGCTACAATTTAGATGTCCTTCCTTAGAATTCCTTCCTTGAGGAACCCTGTCATGTAATTCACAGGGATTGTAATCTAAAGCCTTACATGTCAGCCCAAAACCTCATTTGTAAAGGTAACGGGATAATAGAATCACTGAGGTTGGAAGGAACCTATTTAGACTCCCTGGTCCAGCCTCCCTGCTCAAGCAGGGGCAGGAAAAGCAGGTTGCCCTAAAGGACCATGTCATGATGGCAACCTAGCCTGTTTTATCGAGTTATGAGAGACTGTTGTACTATTATCAGCTGAATTCAGGTTCCAAAAGTGAATAACAGCATGATTGTTCCTGAACTATATGAAAAAGTCTTTGAATCAAAAAATGCTTTCAGTTACAGTTTTGTTAAGTTTTCCCTGTAGTAGATAGAAGGGTGACAATGTTGCCTCAAAACTAGGAAGCCACTGATGCCGTTCTCTCTCAGAAGATGGAGAAAACTGCTGGCATATGGGATGAAAATGGATAAAAATGAAAGGCAAAACAAGGAGAGAGTGCAAGAGTGCAAGTGTGGTTGTCTTCAGAAATGGATTTCATAGTTCTTGAATTCAATTCACATCTATCTTTCAAGATTATTAATCAGGGCATTAATAACCTGGGGATGACTTCTTAACTATTCAGAATCAATCTCATCCACAGTTCAGTTAACTTACTTTCTACCAAAAAATTTATTTCTGTCAGGGTAGTTGTCTTTTAGATATAAAAACCCCTCAAAAACTGATTTAGATTTATATTGACATTTTAGAGGAATTTTAATACTGAAATACAGTAAACACACTGGTTTTGTACTTATAAATTACCCTAAATTTTTTAAAAGCATTTAAACAGGACTATGCTTATCTAGGAGCAAGATAAACATCAACAAGCTGCATTGTCATCTCTAAAATCTGCTGTGTAGGTCTGCACAGGCAAATTCATGTATTTTTGAAATGAATTAGTCTTCTTAAAGTTGTGCAGATGCTAAGAGTAACCATGAAGATATGCCTTTACTTCAGCCAAATCAATTTACTTCAGCAGCATTCTTCACATGCACAGTCCTTAAACCCAAATTTGGACTTTATGCAAAATTAAGAAGCCATCAAATTACAAGAAATCACCGAACTCCACACCTTTACTCCTCCATATTGCAAAAAGAGTATGGATTAACCCCAAACTGATTTTTAAAGAATTAATCTGCAGATCAGATCACGGGGCAATGTGACAGGATTTTGTTCAGCTACTGCATCTGTGATTAAACAATTATATTTCAAAACCATTAATACCTTGTTCAGGTGTCTCCTCCTCTTGTCTCATTCCCCATCCAGACTGTGGGCTTGATGAATTGCGTCCCCTTCTCGAATAATAATTCTGCACATCAGCAGGCAAAGTCTTCCTCACAGCCCAGCTGGATGCAGATGTCCACCCAGACCTGTCAGCGGGTGTATCAAATGAATACTCTTGTTCATTCTTACGCTTGTACGGCTGCTGTTCTGAGAACCTTGAAGCTTCATTCCCAGAACCATTTGAGTTCCCTGAGAGAGGTTTTCTGTTTTGCCAGTGATTTTCACTCTGGTCTCCATACATGAAACCACTTCGGCCACGGCCACCTCGGCCACGCTGACCTCTCCCTCGATTCGGAATCCAACCTGAACCAAAGTTTTTATTCCAAGATTGTCCTGCGTTATCGTGCCTGCCCTCTTCCCAATGTGGGTTCTCTCTCTCTCTGTTCCTGACTTCAGGAACAGAGTTTATCCTCTCCATTACCCAGTCTGGACAGTCATTCCTCTGCTTATCTGAAGAACATTGATCTTCATTGCTTTTTTCTGTATTACTGTCTTTCTCTTTTTTAAGAGTTTCATTCTGTTTCTCTTGATCACTTCTCCTGTATCGATCGTTTCCTCTGGGACTCTTCCAGCTGTCATTTGCCCATCTCTCTTTCCATCGAGGTGAATGACTTTCCCTCTCATTTCTAGAGAATGAAGAACTTTTATTTCTAGTCCTAGATCGTGACCTTGATCTAGAGCGTGACTGTGACCTAGACCACCTCCTATTTCTTCTTTCTCTGTCACGATCTCTTCTTTGATTATCTCTATCACTGCTTCGAGACCTGGATTTTCGCCTTGGAGACGAATCCTTAGTTCTTGATCGGGAAGATGATCTCCTGCTTTCCCTGACAGTTTCCCTTTTGGGAGATCGAGATGGTGTTTTTTTCTCATCTCTGTGTGTGTCTCTCTTTGGAGAACAAGACATGGATCTCCTTCCCTCCCTCACAGTTACCTTCTTGGGTGATCGTGAGCTCCTGTCTCCAGTTGTCTCCCTTTTAGGGGATGGTGATTGAGATTTCCTGCCCTCTCTCCCAGAAGGAGACCAAGTTGTTGATGGAGAGTGAAATCTAGATCTTCTAGTTCGAGCCTTTTTCTCTTTTCTGACCTCTGGCTGGCACTCTCTTTCTTGAGGAACAGTTTCATCTTTTTCATCAGAACCTGATGCAGAGTTTCCCACACACTGCAAGGTGTTCACTTCTTCTTGCTCTGTACTTTCAGGTGGTGGTAACTGTTCAATCTTAGGTTCATTCTGGTCACTGCAAAATGAGTCACAGTCCATTGGTATCATTTCATTGTTATCTTCACCAAAATGTTTATGTTCAGCATTTACCAGGGGTGACTCTGAAGTTCCACCCTCTTCACTTTCTGAAATGGTATTCTCTTTTAAGGGTTGTTCTGATGCACTGTCTATAGAAATACTGTGTATTAATGCATCTGGTTCTTCATTTTGAACAGGACTTGTATTTGCACAGTCTACTACTGGCTTTAGTTCAGTCTCAGAATTATCCATTTCCATGGCTTCAGGATGCTCAGGCAATTCACTTCCAGGGTTCTCTAATGGCTGATCTTTTCCCAAAGGTTCCAGATGTTCCAACAATTCATTTTCTGGACTAGCTATAGGTTGATCTACTTTTGTCAAAGTTTCTATGTTCTCCATTAATTCTTTTTGAGGACTACATGATGTTTGATCTACTTTTTCAGAAGTCGCATGGTTGTATACATCATCTTTGGGACTAGCTACTGTTTCCACTTGTTCAGGAGTATTCTCACAATCATCCTGATTGGCAAGATCTACATTTTCTTCTGTAACATCTTTTACTTCAAATTCCTGACTTTCACTTCCTGAAGTTAGTACTGGGGGTTCTTGGAGAGAAAAACTTACATCTGCATTGCCTGAAGTATCTTCATCTCTATCACATTCTCCTGTAGTTTCCTCAATTTCTGCATGCTCACTACAGCTTTCCAATCCATTAGCAGATTCCGTTTCTACATTATTCTTCTGCGGGAGGCTTGCATTACTGCTCTCATTATCTGACTGGTGGTCCTTATCTAAAGATAGGCCTGTTTCAGGCTCAGCAATGTCATCATCTTCCACTGAGTCACAGGGTGATTTTTCAGAACGTGCAGAACTTCTCAGTTTCTTTTTAACTGCAGGTGTTTGTTGTTTAACTGCTCTTTTAGACTTGCGCTTTGGAGGAGCATTCCCTGCTTCTGAATGAGTTTTACTCAGAGATGAGTTATTGCTACCAGGGGCACTGCAAGCAGAACCGCTTGATCGAGGGGAGCTCCGAGACTGACTCAGAGGCTCATTTTTGCTGTTTCGTGCAGACCTTCTTGTAGGAGTAGTAGTAACTGATTTCCTCCTACTTCCTCTAGTGCCAGATGAACCAGAAGCTTCCTTTTTCTCTTCTCCTTCTTGGGTACATGCAACAGCATATCCTTTGCCTAAAGATTCTAATAAAAACAGAAGACATTAAGACTTGATAATAACCATTTATCTGAACATATTTCAGAACATAAAAGGGCCTTCTGCAGTGTAACAGGTATCAACAGATATCCTCAAATAATACAATTTAAGATTTAGTATGAAATACTGCCACAGCTTTTTTCCTTTTTTAAATGGAAACTGGTTGTTTTAAAGAACAGAAACAAGGTAAAGTGACACATCAGACATCTGAGCACACACTTTAGAAGCAGTGCTGGCCTGGCTACATGGACAGTGATAGCATGCACAGTGAAACTCTTATTGACACAGCTGCTCAAAGATAGTCAGCATTTAAGCTGTTAGAAAAGTAATGAATTAACCACACAACACTGTCAGCATACAGCAGTTCCTGTCACTCTGTACCACAGGCCAGTTGATAGTGAAGCTCAGTACTAGAGAAAGGGACATTTTCCAATGGCCATCAGTGGATGATCACATGTGCAGCAGTTAATCAGACACAGCAGTCACAGTGCAAACTTATTCACCAGTTATAGGGCAAACTGAACTTAAACTCTGCCACAAGACACCCAAGGTGCCTGCAGACTACACTGCATCAAAAAAATAAAAGCTCTACAAAGAATGACTAAGGCACACCTAGCAAGCAGCTCAGCTCTTGTGTTGATACTGCACTAATTTATTTCATGCCATCTACCATTTGACAGAAGTCCTGGTAGGGAAGCTAAGGGTTATATTTGCTGCACAGGGAAAACTGCACTGTCAGTACCTACAAAAGCTTCTGGTGGACAGCTCAGAAATTAAAGATTAATGATAATTAAGTAAATGTACTTGAATGTAATACTTCAAACTAAATTAATTTCTTGGGATGTACATTAATTTGTTTCACACTTCGTGTAGGTTTCAGGAAGCATCAAGAATGTGGTGTTTAAATGAATTCTTTTACAGCTTCAATTTCATACATGAATAGTGCAAACTAAGAAAGATTAATTGCTATGGATTTTGCAATCTCTCACATCACAAACATGTAATTTTAACTCTGTGCATTATTTCCCATGCTTTTGCTACACTAAAATATTTGTCTAATGCATTCACAAACAGATTTCATAAAAGCAAGATGGGAATAAGAAAAGTAACAGCAAAAAAGCCTCTTTCTACCACTTACTACTTTGTTAACAGAACAAAAAAACCTATCACTGTATCAAATGCAAACAGTAATCGCAGAGAATGAATTCCATAACCACCTCACTAGCCTTTAAGGACTATAATCACAGCCTCTGACCTTCCTTGCAAACACACAATAATTTGTTTAAACACAAAGAAAAACGTAGTGATTCTGGGTTTTGCATGCCCAATGATCGAATAACCATTTAAGAAAACGAAAACCAAAATCAACTGTATAGAAGGTACCATGTATTTAAAAGAAAATAACATGATCGTAAAGAACTTCCAAAGGAATTTCAGGAGACTGACACTATTTTGGGTGTCTACTCTAACACCAATCATTTTGTTACAAAGTGACTTCACAGTGGTTAAGCGGCACTTACTCAGCAACAGGTGGCTGTCTCAGACTAATTATGTCTTCCAACCTATTGCAATAGCCAGGAAATCAAGTTAGCTGTTACATGACATTTCAAGTTTTAATATATGTGATCATTTTCTTCAAGGGAGAAGAAATCATCTTGCAATAATAATAAAAAAAAAACCCAGTAGAAAACAAGTTGAATATGGGAATCTGGACAGAATTAAAAGGCAAGTTACTTTTCTAACACATTCAAAAATCTACATGTGAAGCACAAACCCCTTTTAGCATGCCCTATTTGTAAAATGTTAACAGAAAAGCTTCACAAGCTTTGGACTTGGACCAAATAAAATACATTTCAGCTCACTCTTTATTGAAAAATATTTTAATCACATAAAACCTGCATAATGCCAGCATAAATCATAGTGGTATTTGTAGATTCAGTAATGCATTTTCAGGTCAAGTTAGTAAAAAAGACTATTTAATGGACACAGACTACTAAAAGTGCAACAGTTACAGGGACGATTCAGACACTACAGTTATCTGGTCATCATTGATATTTGTGTGCCTCCTTGTACAACCCTGGAAGCTACTGTCAGCTGTTACTCTGATGCAAAACTGTATACTTTAGTTGTGACCACAAGCCACACCTAAGAGACAAGTGTAAAAAGAAAACAAAAAATGCTTATGCTATGATCTTTCAGGCCCAATTTACTAAAAAATGCAAGAACCAGTTTGCACCTTTTTTTAAATGCATCTATTTTCTTCATTCTCCTTTTCTCCACCTTTTCAAAAAGTCAGTTTCCTTATATATATATTTGCCATGCATCTCTAACAGTATTCAATTAGGGTTCTCTTTACCTTTGTCTTTACCTTTTCTTATGCATGCCATCCTCTTACCCAGATACTATATAAAAACTGAATGGAGAAGGAACACTCACTTAACAGATTATGACTAAAATTCTCAAGGGACACCTTCATATCCACCATCCTCTGGTTTTACTAGGAAATTTTAAGACTCTTACTTCCTGCATGCTCTTTATCAGTAGAAAGTATATAAATAAAATGTGAAGATGACTTAAAACTCTGAATCTTAAAACACTGTAGTATGTTGGCACTAATCTTAAAATTCAATCTTTGTCCACAGTGCAAGTATTAAAATTCTAATCAAGACAACTGACAAAATTCTGTTCTAAATATAATTTTTTAATGCTTCTGGTGCATCCTAACAAAAAAGCCTGACTACAGAAGTAGAAAGGTAGACAGAGAAGTCAAGAGGTACGAGAGTCAGAGAGTCAACATGTATACTACTAGAAGAAAAATGGTTAAGAATCAGTTACATTGCACTGTCAAACATCAGAGACCTGAGGAAGCAACCTATCCATTTTTCACTGGGAAATGTGGAGGTGAAATACATACCTTTAAAAAGAATAAAGAATATGAATGGAACTTTTTCATGATCCTTCTGCTACTTAATTCCTTCCAGTAATTTACTTCCACACAATTTTCATAGGCCAGGAGACCCAAATCTGTCCTATCTCTGCCTACTAGACATGTGAAAATGGCGTGATTCCCAATCCAAAGAAGATGTTAAGGTACTAAGTCTAGCCTTAAAAAATTGGATTCCTTTGTTTCTACTTCTTTGAAGTTGTGCAGCTATTTGGAAGAGAAACTACATTCTTGCTGAGTATGGAGACAGAGACTGTTAAAGTAACTGGAGGAAAGCAATTCCTTCCATATCTTGTCTTCTGCTGCTTTCCTGACAGACCACGGAACTCCAGTACTTTTGCCCTGCAGAGCTTTTAGGCAAACTGAAAGAGATCCATACATTTCACTGCTTCCTGACTAATGTTCTTCTCTGCCAGGAAAGTTTGCTCCTCACACTGCACAATATACCCCTGAAACATGCCATTCATAATGCATCAAAATAAGATTTACCCTTGAACAATGGCAAATGAAGAAAGAAGAGCATAAATGGAACAAATGTTGCAATTAGAAATGGAATTAAGTTACATAAATGCTTATTAATTTAATCTTCAAAAGAATAAGTTATACCAGCTTTGGGGTGGATGATTCATATTCTGTATTCTAATTTCAGAAATTAAGTAGCTGACTTTGAAATAGTACCAAGCTGCATCAAAACAGACTTCTTTTTCCCTGTTAAGTGTAACTAACTCTGTTTGATTTCTGATAATCGTATTTTAACAATACTCCACATGAGCTATAAATAAAACTTACAAAAAAAAAGTTTACCAAAGTTTTCCAAAGGCCTGATATTTGTTGGAAGAACTCTTCCAGCCACTGCAGAAGAAGTGAGAAGAAAGGTCTCAGCTTCAGCTCCATAAGATATTAAAGGAACACTGCAAAGTAAAAGCAAAAGCAGCAACATTAGTTGTTTTAGCTGTTTGCAGCAAGTCTTGGAAACAGTACACAAAACCAAAACATATTGGGCAATTACAACCCTTTCAACTTCATCACAGCTGGAGAGAAACACAAAGCTGACAGTGAACAAAACTTTCCTTGTCATAATTTTACTGCCTAATCTATGAAAACTGCTTGAACAAGGTATGTTAAAACAATATGCTTCTGGCTTTCTTTAAAGTCAAACACAGAGCAGTAAGAGTCAACAAAGTAGTATGTTATAGTCCTGGAAATAAGGGTCTGAATGCTGATTTAGTACTTCATCAGAACAGCAACCTTTTCAGCAGAAAAATGAGAAATAGTCTACATGAGATTTTTAGAAAAGGCTCTTTTTTTTTTCTTCATACAAACAAAAGAAATATATACTCGGTCAGACTCACGCAGCAAACCTTAGGCAAAAACAGAGCTCATTAGCTAGACATCTACAATTTTTGCATTAACACTGAGTTGGAATGAAACTTCTCCTAAGAAAATGTACACGTAATAAATTTATTATTTTAATCAGAAATGCAATTTTTTATAATAATTAAAAAACCCTTCACTTGGTACTTTAACTTTAGTCTTTGTTTTTATACCAAAGAGATATATAACTCTGTAAGAGTAACTAATAAGAACTAATTTCTTATTGTGTTATTTTAAAATTAGTTATTTTTATGTTATATATTTTATATATTTAATATTTTGTATTATTTTTTAAGTTATATTTCTGCTCACAGAAATATCCTTAGGGCATGTTTTAACACACATCTGCTTTCTGACAAAAAGCCCCATAGAATTATTTTATGTTCTCTGTTTCACTCGATACAACTCCTATTAGGTCTTTTTAGATGTAAACAGGATTTTTTCATAAATTATTACAGAAAAAGTGATAGAACCAACCCATTAAAGTAGGGTACAGGGTGGTGTGGGGAATCAGAATCAAACTGATGTTAAAGCAAGCATAGTCTGATATCTAGAGATAGAAATAATTTTAAAAGTTCATTGAATATTAGCTTCCAAATAGAAAATATATTCAAGCTCACATTTCTGTGAAAAGGTAACGTATTAAGATGCATAAGTCTATGGAGTTACTATGCTTGTCACAAGTACCAAAAAAGTATTAGGACAGAAAAGAATCTGTTGACATAAAAACACCAAGCAGCAAATACACAAAAATTTAACAAGTTAAATGCAAACACTATTTAGTTTCGAGAAAATTATATTCTATCTAAAGAGCAATTTAAATTAATCAAACTCCAAACTTGAAGTATGAAGATGCACTATGAATCCAAAACACAGACCTTTCAACTCTAGCAATCACAGATGAACAGGACAATTCCAGTTCCTGTCTCTTCTGTCTGATCCCTGCATTGACTTCTGTGAATTCTGGACTGAAAGACAAATTTCATACAAGAAGTTATAAAAAGTAACTTTGACAATTTTGTATTTCAGTAATTGCTCCTACCAATGACTTTAATTTAAGTGTATTAGAACTTTCAACAGCAATGATTAAACTATGCATTGGTAATTGCTTAGAGGAAAAACACAGTTGCAGCAAACATAAAAGAAGTCCTAAATAAATAAAGCAGATGGAATGGAAAACGGGATGAAATGTGTCTGCTGGGGAGTTGAAGGATGGAGAAACTTTGTATCCTTGACAGATAAATTCTGTTGCATGCATGGCAAAAAGTTCCTATTTTACAGATTGTCAAAAACATACAGATGTAGTACATTTTTTTTTATTAGGCCAAATTATCCAAATAACATTCTTTTAGACTCTTCTTTTTCTTCCATCTATTCAATGAACAATTTTTTTATATACCCGTTCTTAAGTATTAAGCTTAATTAAGTATTTTGCTGAATGCAAAATTGCTTCATGGATGTTTAAAGTATTCCTCTAGGAATCAAAGAACAACAACAAAGAAGATTGTTTCTGATACAAAGCAGGATATTTACCATTAACTGTTTTGGTAACTGCTGTTGTAATAACAGGGCTAAGCCTTTCCTATCCAAGACTTCCATTCAGCAAGGAATTAAACATGAACTAAAGTAAAACTCTTATTAAATCAATGAGATTAAAATACTCAAATGTGTGTTTCTGACCCTGAACACATGACAGAAACTGGGGTGTGCTCTTAACAGTACTAATTTTAAAACGTTTGTGTTTATCTTTTAACTGCTCTTCATCAATGAATAAATACTCTGGCAATCTTGAGACTATTTCAAGGCAGTATATATACAGGTAGGAGCAGAAGGAGCTTCAGAATCCACAATACAGTAACCCATCAATTTATACAAAGCACTAGTACATACTAACCAGTCATTTCTACAGCTAAAAAAGGATTCTTCACTGCTACCACCAGATAGAAGTGTGCTGAAGAAATTAGTTCTGATGCACTCATTCCAGCAGGTCTGTCTTCTGGGCTACACAAAAAATAAATTATGAATTAAAGACTTAATTAATTAACACTAAACACATGAATATGCACTGAAATTAAATAAGGTCAGCAAGACTTTAGCTCATAAAAAGCAGACACCATAATAGCTCCATAGGTATATGCAGAGATTTGCAACTACAGCAAACAAATTTTCTCTATTCAGTCTCTAAATTTTCAACAACTGATCTTTGCAGATAAACTTCATATTTTATATAAAGCAAAATTTTTAATACTCCACACAGGCATTATGAATAAATAAGCTTGATCATTACTATTGCACAATTCTGCTACCTAAAAGTTCCACAGTAAGTACAGCTCGAGCACCTTCACAGCCCTGCACAGCAGTTCACCAAATGTTTTGTTTCAAGTAGCAAGAGAACCTAATGAGGGTAGCTGGGATTCTCCTTTGCCCTTGGGTAGGATTACAGAATTGAAGATTGTCTGGTGTGCCTAGTTACTGGGCCCTCCCACAGGGGCACAACACTCAGAACCCACTTTGTACTTCAAAAGATAACACCACCAATTTATGCTGCTAACAAGGCCCAGCCATGCGCTGTGTGCTGGCCTGTTGCGTTTGCAGGTGTGCAGGGAGCTCTGCTGCTGGACACTGCGTGGGCGGCAGGGGAAAAGCCAAAAAACAACCCCCAACAACAAACCATCAACAGTCCTCCAGATACTCTTCCCGTACTAACATACATTGATCCATTTTTGTCACAGCACCTGAAGGGCTCATACCACCTCAAACCTGGCTAAAACTTTCCTGTTCATTCCCTGTGACTGGTAATTTAAAACAGGAATTTAGAATGCTCCCATAATTTCAATTCAGAAAAATGAAAAATAAACTTTGTAGTGGGATATATAAGAATACGTGTCTCCATATGCAGTCATTATCCAAATGCTCTATCAAACTTTGGCACGGAGAGCTGCTTTTGCTGGGAACATACCCTGTTTTATCAGCATATAAATATAAATAAATATACATTTTATAAATATAAATTTTAAATTTTGCCTAAAACACTGTGGGGTTTAAGTTTTACTTTAAGAATAATATAAATTTTGAAATTAACCTTTCCCCCTCCAATTAAAAAAGCTATCCAGATGTTCCAAAAATGTCCTTATGAAGTAGTTGCTAGTATATTATGGCTTTCTTTTAAATTTTGAACATTTCTTGGATAATTGAGTCCCATGCCACCTCCTGAAGGTTTTTAATGGTTGTATTCTTGTTTATGCACTTTTTTTGCTACTATTTGAGACATTAATGCTATTAAACACTTTACCATAAATCAGTGAAACTAAAACTGAAAGCATTCCCCAGCCATGAAGTCATATTAGTGGCTCATCTATTGTTAAGCTCTATTTTTCCAGTTCAAAATCCCTTCAGTGAAGTGAAAGGTACTTTAAGTTTACAGGGCAATGAAACCCAAATTTCCAAATCCCTGTCTTAGAATGGGGAAACTGGGGCTAACAACATCCCTGAAAACTATAGTGTAATGAGCAGAAGTTACAGCTCAGGCCATCAGCTGCTGAAAATACACAGGATATGCACCATACTACATGAATCAAAGCAGTAACCAAAACAGGGACTTGAACATAGCTTTTCCTCCAAATAGTCAAACTTCAGGTAAGACTGAAGAATGTTAAATGATGGCATTTACACTTCAGAATTAAATTTATGGCCTAAAACTTATTCACGCACATTCACTTACAGGTACAACTATGAGTAAGAAAGAACTGATCAAGAACTTGTGTCTCAGAGACACACAGTATTTTTGAAAGGAGGGACGGTAGAAATCAAACAAGAGAGCCTTTACAGCTCCTTGTAAATCTGGCATCTGGTGATCCTGTGTTTATAGGCTAAGATTTATGAACAAGAAACCTGGAAACAGAAACCTTCTTGACAGAAATCTCACATTTAAAAAAAACCCAACTTGATGCAAACCATAATGTCTATGGGAGATTCTCACAAATTATTTGGTTGATTATGTCTATGTATTTTATTGAAAGTATTAAAAACCTTCATATAATGGTGCTTGGCTGACAGCTTGTAGATGAAAACATCTTACTTTGGTGAAGATGGATGAAAACAGGGTTCAGAATCTTATAATGTAACATCCTAATCTAAATAAAAATATTTACCTCCATAAAACTAAGTTTAATCTGAGAAAGAAGCTCATATAACCTAGCACTATATTCTAATTACTTCAAGACCAAAACAGCCAAAATAAAAAAGTTTATTATAAAATCATACCAAAATTAACAAACAGAAGTTAACCCGGAAAATAAGCAGGAAGGTAGTCTTAAAAATGCTCTAATGAAAGAAAGCATTTACAAACATTTCATCAGCAGAACCAACCTTGTTTATCTTCACAGAGAAAGTTTTCTTGTTTTGTTTGTCATACAAAATATTACCTGTGGAACAAGGAACAAAACTTTCATCTTAACTTTAGCATATTAGTTCTTGATTGTTCATCAAAATCATTAATGCAATGGGAGGTGAACAAAATGTGTATCTTGAGTGTATTTACAATGCTTACGTACAGACTGAGTAAAATGAAAATGCACGCACCTTCACAATAGCTTTTTAGATACCAAGCAGTTTTTACCTCTTCAGATATTTGCTTCATATTTCCTATGTTATGAAAAATCTTACCAAACAACTTCTATCGAATAAGCCCTTCAGAATAGCAACTCCAAAACACAGCTAAGTGCTGCTTATGTTTGAACTCTCACCAAAAAAACTTCTATGAATAAAAGCTAGTCATTAGCTGTTCCCCAGCTGCCTGATGCAGAAAATTACTTGAGGCTGAAACCATATCCATTTGACTTGTGAATGAAATCGAAGAGGCAGTTTTCCAGTAATATAAAAACAGGAGTCTCACATACTGCAATTCTGTTCTAGAAGTTCCACACTTCTACTCTACTTGGAACTTGGGTTTTATATAAAAATGTAAGCAATTCTAAAAAATTTAATTGGCTCATCAAGAAAAGATATTCTAGAGTTCCTTAATAAAACACAGCAATTCTGGCAAATACCAACTTACTGTATTTTTTCTTCACAATTCTGCTTAATTTTACTGTTATTTGCCCTCTGTCTGGACATACAGCTCTTCTGCAAGATCAAAAAAAGACATTAAAAAAGCAGTTTCTAGGCACATCCAAACAAAATCCTCTCCTATTTGAAGGTATTTTTATTTTGTGCACATAAACCAAGTTCTAACTGCTATTAAAACCTGAACTTGCATCATGAATATCATCTTCCATATATTAAAAGCCACAGTGCTTCAAACAGCTTAGACAGAAAAAAAGGGAAGCCAATTTACACAAAAATTAATATCCTGTATTAAATCAGAATGCTCAGTTTTGTTTGATTTCACGGCAACATGTGAAAAAGGTGTTAAAACCCGCTTCCTTCTAAGAATATCAGAGTTGATTCAAATTGTGAATCTTATTTTCTTATTAGTTGAAAAAGGTAATTTACCTCCAGTTATCTTTTCTGCAGTGAAGTCTGATCACATTAAACCTCAAGAACTCTGTACTTTTCATACATTCCTTTAAACACTGACCTTAGATAAGCACTATTTAGCAAATTATTCTACGTAATCCTGAGCTTCCCCTGTAACAATGCAGCAAATGTTACAAGATAAAGTTTACCAAAACTGAAATGCTTATTCCATATAACAGCAGAAATGATCCCTCTCAAGCTTACTAGAATAAAATCAGTTTTTGACTAGAACTATTTTTTATAGAAGAGGAACATTACCAGTGCTTATGATAACGTGCAAGTTTGTTTAAATAAACAAAGAAAAATATTTATGTTGTTAAAATTTGATGTAGCCATACTTCAAATTAATGTAAAATTTGTCAGTTGCTTGAAAAATGCAACTTTCACAGAGCTCAATGCAAGAAATATATTGCCCTTTACTTCTTCCTTGCTATTTTAACTATTCAAGAGGGAACTACAGCAGTGATAAAAATAAAATTAAACAACTACTAGTGAAAACTAACTTATTCTAAAATAAAATTAATTTTACATAATTTTCATCCTGTACATGTTAAACCAGTTGATTTTACACATTTCAAATATTCCAATTCAAATGCATGAAGTTACACAGATGACCAACCTCACAAAACTTCTCGTCCTCACATGGCTGTAAGTTTCCTTATTGCAAGCACAGTTTTCCTCTTCCTCCTTCCTCCTTAGCTGTTTTGTAACCTGAACCTGTGTTGTAAAATAGAGTCAATCCAATCTAGAATGTCATGACACTTGGGCTAAATTCATACAAAGTCTCTTCAGGTCTGTATAGAAATTAAACTCAAACAGAAGGACTAGAAAACATTTCAAGTCTTACTTCTTTGACTTCACAGTTTTGAGAATTTTTTTCTTTTGTTTTTCATAAAATAGAAAAAATCTACACCTTGATATGTTATTGACAATGCCTGAGATGCATACTAAGTTCACAGGACCAAAAAAGCCCTGAAAATTCAGAGTGCCATGGCAAGTGTCTTAGAGCTATGCATTAGTTTCCATCATGAATCCGTAAGTTAAGTTTTTACAATCTAAGTTGGTTGTTCAGAGTACACAGGATTCACCTTGGGAAACTGGTAAACTACCACTCAACTTAATATGCTTCCTCATAATTAAAAAACACCCAATTGTATCTTATACAATACTGAGTTTTTTCCACTTTTCAAAAACACTGAGAACAATACAACTTTTATTTCACACTGTAAAGTTGCTTAAATGGCTACATTGCAATCATTTGCATTAGAAACTTTGTAGTTCCTCATTCCCAAAATTTGCCTTTTTATGCAACCCCATAATGTATAAGCATTCTAATTCTGAATAGCACAAAGAGAAAGCTGCCAGTCTCCTGGTAGCATCAATGATGATGCTGACCACTGTGTCTGCATATCTTGGTACACATTCCATCTACTCCTACAGCTCCCATGGCTCTGTCTCAGGTAAGGATACTGTTCTCTGCCCATCTGTTTACACTGCAGTTCTGTGAACAATCTTTCAAACTGTATTTTGATACAGCCTTTACACTTTTCCAAATGTAAACTTCAGTTTATCCTATTTCAACTGCTTCCTTGATTCTTCAGCAATAAAGAAGACAAAGTACACAAGCACAGTTTTCTATGAGAAGGAAGCATCTCTAGTTGCCAGCATGGCTCCTTTACAGGTGACTTCCTGGGCCTCAAGAAGTACAAGAAATGAGTAATGGAAGCCTGTTTTCTAAATGTCACAAAGTGCAAGACCAGCAGCTTATGAACTACTTATAAGCATAACTTCATCAAAAAATTTCAAAATCATACATGGAATTATCAGCATCTTTCTATATGCATTTTTAGCATCAACTATCAGAAGAGGTTTTTTCCTCCTTGATAAACTACTCTCCATATCAGTATTTTTAAGAATTCAGAGCTGAAAAATATTCAGATTTGGGTTGAATAATGTTTAACATTAATTGATTCCCCTTGCCTTCATGTGTTTTTGTCTGGGACTTGGAGGCTGTGAACACAGAATATTCATCTCAGCTAAAAAAAAAAGGCAATATTGCATGATAATTGGAGTATCAGTTGTTTACAAAACCTAGTTTAAAAAACACTTTGAGACCAATTACTGTACTTCTATTCTTGGATGTATCACAAATGCTCAAAGATACTAGAAAGTAGCAACAGCAGCTTTATGATTATTATAACTATGGTAAATACTTGCTCTGAAAAAAATAATTAAGATTAATTCCTAGCTTCAAATATGTAATAGAAACACTGAAGCAGCAATTACTTTGTTAGGAAAGCTTATGTAACATAATGCATTTCATTTTATATGAATAAAAGGCTGCAGCATAACTTGGATGTTCCTACAATGGAAGTTATTTGAGCCAATAAGTCTGGAACATACCTTTATCTGCCTATCCAATGCATCCAGCCTGCACACTGCTTGAAATGGTCTCCGATCAATAGGACATGAAGCCTGTGTCTGAAAAATGATTTTTCTTATTACAAACTTGGTAATGAACAAAGAGAAGCCTTAATTTTCTACACTTTTATTTGCTATTATAGTATCTTACAGAAGCACGCAAAATCCCAACTTGTTCACAGTAAGAATGCATTTGGACACTCAGTATTTTGTTTAATATAGACAGATTGCTCTTTCAGGAAAAATCTAAAGGAAACAAAAACATAACCCAGAAGTTGTGTTTAAAAAAGGAAAAGCATTTTACATCAAGTTACCCTCATTTTCTGGTTTATTAATTCCTTTTAGGTAACTGATTTTATACCAATGTGTCCTGATTTTGACTGGGGTAAAACTCATTTTTCTTAGTAGCTGGTACACTGCTTTGGATTCTATGTAAGACTAATGTTGATAACACACTGAAAAGCATAACCATATGCAAATGTACTTTATATTTTGTATTGTTCTAATATTTCATTTCTTAATATTATTTTCAACAGGAAGTGTGTTGCATTGTATATCCTCCACAACATAAAACTGGTAAGGCCAAAAGCAAACAGCGTTTATAACACATCTCTTTTGCTGCAGTCAGCAGACAACAGATTCCTACCATAACACATCTAAAGTTTCACAAACCAATTTTCAAGAAAAAGGAACTGAAGGCTATTTTACCCTACTGTTTGATGGAAATAGCAATTTACTGTTTTTCCCTGATCACCTAAATGCTCTCTTATTGAGGCTGCACTACATCAGATTAAACACACACAAACAGAGAACAGTAACCCATTATTAACCATGGAAATGGGAAATTTCAACTGAAGCTCCACCCAAGTGGATCACATAGTGAATCAGCTTTAAGAGAAATCCACATTGGGTATTAACTTCTGCTGTGAGAGAACTCTTTATTACTTTTAATTACAGACCTGTTTGCTTGTGGGGAGCTGTTCTTTGTTTGGGGGCTTTGTTATCATTACACCCTCCACATGCACCTTAATTTCATTGCCCTTCAGAGGCTCAGTTCAACACTTGTAAAACAAAATAAAAAACCAAAATACACACCCAGTCTCCAGCCCTAATTCATTCACTGAACAAGACCAGTACATGAACTGCATGCCCTGAAGAGGCATGTAATTTCTGCAGTTTAGAGAGTTACAGGGTATCTATGCAAGCAAGATGCAGTACTTCAAGTGAATAAGCAGCTAAGAAAAACCTGCATATGAACTCTGTCCCAAAATTCAGTGGTGAACCTCATTCCTGCCTTTTCATCAGGGCTTCTAATTTTCCAGTCAATTCTGTTATTTTCTCAGTTTCAAAGAGTGCTCAACTGCTATTTCACATACCAGCCCCCAAACATGGAGTATTAACAAAGTTTCTGAGCTTCTGATTTCAACTAAAAGCAGATAGAACCAAATTAAGACTGATTTTAAAAAAACCCAAACCCACCAAACAAACAAACAAACCCCAGGGGTAGCTTCACGAACAAGCTGTTGAACAAGAATGTAAGTTAAAGCCATTACCTACTCTCTTTGATGTCTGGCATTTTAGCCTAACTAAAAACTTCCTCTTTTGGGGGATATTATTGCTCTCTGCAGTGTCATGGCCCCGGATAAGAAAAGCATATTGGGTAATTAAGCCAACTCCCTAAGGACTCAGATCATGAAGTTTTTGTCCTGTAGTCAAGGCACAGCTAACCCACAGTAACACAGTAGTGAAATGTTCAATCAGGATATTTGATAGCATGCAATACACTGTAGCTTCTGAATCCACTGCAAACAACAAGGTACATACTTTCATTCTTAGATAGACCAGATTGTAAAAGATAGGTAGGAGGAAGTAATTAGACATTTTTGTTCTCATTTCAGGATCTACCTTAGCTGAAATGTTTATCCAATACAACCTCTTCCAACATTAAATTTACACATGAATGTCAAGTAATCTTCCGAAGTGTAAGTCACTGCAAATTAGTACTCTATGATACTTTATTGCAATGAATAAAGTGAGTGTTACTAGTAGCAATCCAAATAGCAACTGTTTTTACCCCACTAGAAAGATGTTTAATGTTCAGTTCTCCTGAACAAATGTTTAACAACTTAATAAAGTTTTACAAAGTAGTAGAAAGGGAGGAAAACATTCTGGAAGAGTCAAAAACTACCTTTAGGTTCAGATATGTTCAGAAACAACAGATGCTCTTTCCACTCCTACTCAGTTGCTTTTTGTAGCCTTAGCATTTTCAGTAAGCTGACAACACTATCACAAGAGAAATTCTAGTAAACTCAGGACATTTGGTTGTACACCCCCAGTCCCCAGGTGGAGTACAGCTGTTTGGTACCCTGAGGGAGTTCTGTCTAAACATGCATCAGCTCTCACCTGTCTGCTTACAAATTAAAGTAAACATTTAAAATGTTGGAAAAACTGGAAGAAAAAATCCAAAGTTCCTCCCCTGTCCCTTTTCCCAAGAGCAAGACAGGATTTATACTTTATTTTACATAAAGGTAAAAAAAAGTCAACATTCATTACAAGAAGCAATTATGAGGAGTGGCGGCCTTTAACTCGTCTCTCACATTTTTTGAGAACATGGTTCAGGTAACAAAGGTGTTGAGTCTTCCTTCATCAAAGGCAGGTTGCAATTCCACTCCTCTGAGGTTTCTGTTCAGGGAGCACTGTAAGTAATAGTGAATGTACACTGTGTCCTTTTTGATGAAGAACATTTAAAACAAGAAAGAAGATGCTGAGATGGAACAAGTCCGAGGAGCAGCAACCACTTTTATTGTGCACAAGGGAGAAGAGAAGGTATGTGAAATGTATCACAACCTTAGAAGAACCACAGATTTTTACAATATCTTTCTTTACCATAGCTTTAAAAATCAGAACATGCAGTATTTAATGTAATCATCAATATCATTAGAACCTCAGCCCTGGTACTAGTGACCTGCTTTGCTTTGCTTCCCAACAGTTATTTTCTTGGAAAAGCTCAGCACACTTCAAAATGTCTTTAATTGTTTTATTCTCCACATGAAACTATTTAGACTTTTCCTGTTAAACCTGATAAATCCACAGTGATTCATTCTTTCACCCATCCTGTGATATCTGAAAAATTCACTACATAAAATGTGTAAGCATTCACAAAAATCTGCAAGCCCTGAAAAGTTATCCACAAGCAATATGTTTGGTTTTCAAATTTAAAAAAAAAATAAAAATTATATTTTATTTTGTTTTTATGACCCTCTAGAAAAATCTCACTTTAGCTCCACAGGCATAACTTAATTTCTATATTCCTGTAACTGCTAGAGCGACACAGAACTGTGATCTCCAAACTCAAGAAGCAATTGTCCCCTAACTTAACTGCATCACTTCAAACAGCATTTGAGCAAAGTGAGGCAATCAAAAGGCTGAAGCAGTTACTATATTCCAGCCAGGAATTTTCAGAAAGCTATACAAACAGGTGCAAGCTAACCCCAAAACATATTTGGCTGATAAAATAACTTGGACAGATATCCCCATCTCATCAAGTTCCATGCTATGAGGTTTCGTAACAAGTAGCAACAAGATGCAAGTACAGAATTCAAGTTGCTGCAGTAGATCCCTCCCCCAATTTTTTTTTTTTTCTTCAAGTGTCTCATAATAAAGTCTGTTCTCCAAATTTTGTATTGAAAAGGTAATGCAAAAAGAAACATGATCCTGCACTCTTAGGTAATCTGTTACACACAAATAATATCAGATTCTCCTAACTAAATTCAAGCTTAAAGTGAGATTGAGAGCATTAAAGCAATGTCTGTATATTTCACTTCACCTTGTAATAACAGTACAGTAAGAAGCCCACAGTTCCACCTCAAGCTCAGTGAACAGGGAGACCACTACACCACATGCAGAGAGAAACACCCTCTCTACATTTTAATGAAAATAGGAAGACATCAGAAAATGCACTGTTTTCTAGAAGCATGTAAAAACTTACCATTACGGTTTTTTCAGTCTACTTTAAAAAGCAAGTACATTTAAAGGTTTTATAGTTATACTTTAAGAAAGCACAGTTTCTGACAAGAGTCTTTTTTGGAGAGAAAAATCACTGATAATAATATACAAAAGAACAGCAGACAGTTTTAACACCTAATCAGCAGACAACTTAGTTACGAATCTAAACTACCTACATGACACAGCTAGCTAGTTCTTAAGTTCCAAATCAAAATTGCCATAAAGTCTTGACAAATTAAGTTTAATTGTATTGACACTATTGCCAAGAACTGGAGCAAAACGAAAACCACTCCGACTTTTGCACAGCACTTCAACAGCATTAACATTCATAAGCTGCTACACAAATGTTCTTGCAAAATCACAAAGTGGTTGATGTTGGAAGAGATTTCTGGAAGTCATCTTGTCCAACTCCACTGCTTAAGCAGAGAAATAGCCAAGAACAACTGTATCCTACAAAGCAAACATGTAATTTGCAAAAAGGTATCTAAAATTTACACTTTCTAAAACAATTTGATTAATACAGTTTTTTTGAACATCAGCTCTCAGATGAACTGTCTACATATAGATCACTTTGGGTATACTTGAACAAAAAGGTTTTTTTCACTGTTATTTTTGGGGTTTTTAGGTTGTGTTTCTTTGAACACGATTTGTTTGGTTCATTTGTGTCATATTAATACTGCCCACAGTGCTCTATACTGCAGATCACTGCAGAGATTGTTGCCACATAAGCTGATTCCTTCCTATATTCTTTAGAAAAAAAAGAATCCAGATCAGAAAGAATACACATTAAGAATCAAATTATCATACAGATAACCCTCTTTAACCTCAGAAGAATATACATGTGCAGTAGCATACTCCACATACTCTATGATCCAAGCCTTTTATAAGCAACGGCAATGACGACTCTAAGAACTTAACATCAAAATCTATGAATAAAACCCCTAGGAACATCCACTAGAAACAAAATACCAGACAGCTCTTTGGGCCAACTGCTTAGTTTTATTTAGTTAACCACACATCCTGTACAGGGCCTACCTGAATATGCCCCAACACTTTGGAGAACTTAGGACTGCACATACTCAACTTCCAAATCAGATGGGGAAAAAATAATGAGGGAAACCAGGACCAGAACACGAGAGGAATAAGCTTGGTAGGTGAGGGTCACTGAAATCAATGTCTGTTACACAACATTGTAATAATGCAGACAACACAATCTTTTCTTCAACACTCTTCTCTTGTGATGGTTCATTAGAGGAATTAATAGAATAGAGATGGAAATCTCCAGTACATTTATCAGCACTCTGAAGAACAGAAAGGAAGTTAAAAAGCCTACAGTAAAGTAAATATTTATTGTTTCTAAGATTGTTTTCTTTGAATAGAAGAGAAAAACAAAGGTAGAGATTTTTCTGTAATGCATAGAGACAAGATACCACAGCTGCTAAAGCAGTTGTCTTAGCTGAGGGGGTGTTAACTTCTGTGTGCATGTTTGCCACAAATGCCTAGTTAACTTTTCTTTGCATCAGTTTCACTTAAATCCTTTCAGAACCAATTATTATAAACTAAAGCATGTGCTTACCAATGAAAATACAAAATACAAGTTTATCAGAAAAAAAAATTTAAAAAATTAGTTCTGACCCAAGCAGTTTTAATGTACTAATAGTATTACAGATGACAGAAACGTGTTAATGTAATTGCTTCCTTTGGTGTAACACAACATTACTAATAGTGTTTAAAGACTCTAGATAGAGGATTTTTGTTGTTGGCTACACTTTCCCCCCTTTTTTTATGTGGCTGGAATAATGTTAACAGATACAAGTTCTTTACACTGAAAGCAACCCTTCACTTACACTGTCCTTCTACATTCCCACTCACTGAAGGGTGTGTCCAGTAACCTCAGTTCCTGATTTAGCATCTTTTACTTTTTATGATCTTCCAGCACAGACTCACTGAAATACAAAGCCTCAAGCTTAAAAATCTTCATTAGCAAATTATACCATGTTGGTTTACAGAAGTGGTTGACAGCTGGCACAGGATGACAAACATTTATGTTAACCTTCACATGCCTACTGAAAACAGCCCCCAGCAGTCTGCCAGCCCAGTACTGCCCAGCAGTGACTGCATGAGCGCTAGTTAGCATGGCCAAAGGCACACAAGTTGTCAGTCCAATAGTATAGAAGAGTTTAATAGTATAGGCAACTCAATTTTGTGTACAGCAATGCTCTCAAATGCCACAATTAACACAGCCAAAGAGAGCAGAACAATTCACGGGACATATTAAAAAGTTACTCTGAAGATTAACTCCTTTGTGGGGATTCTTGGTCTGCCCCTCACTTTACTTTTAGGCGTTAAGACACCTTTCTTCAAAGGAAAAGAAAATACAGCACTGACTCAACTGTAATGCTATTTTATTCTGAAACTAAATCTTCAGATTTAGCCAACAGGATCTAATGTGTTAGACCTGTTCCGTTGCAAATTTCCTACCTCCCTCTAGCCTTTAGAATAAAGATGATTTTTATATATTATTTTTTATTGGTTTTAAGTGCTTTTTTTTTAATCTATATTCTCTCATTTCTTAAAAAGTAAGCTGTTCAAAGTGTTATGGCTGCTGCTTTCAGACAGATCTGCTGGTACAGAACACGACTGCAGTTGCAGTGTTGAGAATCTCCTGTAGACTGACGAGGAAGCAGAAACATAAAACCCTTATCTTCTGCCTAAACTACCCTGGTTTTGATTAGAGTCTACAATGTTATACACAAAAGCCATAAATTCTCAGGAGAGCAATGCTTATGTACAACTTCAAAATAACAGTTTAAATAGCTTCTGTTACATTTTGAGGTCCTAATGCAATACAGAAAAATAAAAGAAATATCCAACTTGAACACAGACTGCTGGCAAAGCCTCAAAGTGTATGGAGCTGAAAACACACAAAAGAACATGTCAAATAATGTGAATATTAGTATTTTTTTTTTTAAGGTTTTATTCAATAATTTTATTCTCAATTTTGTTTTTCTCCAGCACTTAAAGAAGAAAATACCATTTCTAAAATGAATTTGTTTATACTCCAAAAAAAAACCCCCTTAATCTTTACTCAGAATCAGGCAGTGCATTTTTTAAACACCAGCTAATTTTTTTATCTTTTTTATATCTTTTTTACTCAGAATGACTTAAATTATGGTTATGATCAACCAAGAACCAGAGAAAGCTAACCCTTATGGAACACTGCTCAAAAAAGAACACATTCAGTTACTAAATATTAGTAACAGGCAAAAATCACACAGCATCAGCATGTTTTAAATAGTGACATGCTTATAATATTTTTTTTTTATCTTTCAAATCTACAGAACCTCATCTGCTTCTCACAGCTGAAACCTCTGAACCATCACACAGTTTTCAACACTTCTTTTGTCACTTTACTTTTAATTAAAACTACTAGATTTAGGCAGCGGAGTTCCATGAACTCAACAGGCCTGGCTGTCAGGTAACCTCAGAAAAGGAAGCCTGGCTGGTTTTACCTATCTGATGTCACGAATGAAAAGCAGCAGCAGCAGTCTTATGTAGCTTTAGAAATACCCCCACATCTTTTTTATGGCATCACATCTACTTTACCTGTCAACTCTTAAGAGAAGTTGCTTTTATTCTATTTGAATAGCACTTCAGATCACAAAAAATAAAATTGACGTGACAAGAAAAATGCCAGATCATTCATCCACCCTTTAGTACAAGAAAATTTCTCTTCCTCATTGGGCTTAAAAGCATCTGTTAGACAATGTGAATAAACTCGAATCCAGTAGCAAGCCAATATACTGTACTGCTTCCCTGTGCACGTCACGGTTTAATGCTTTTCAGCTGTCATTATAGCAACCAGCTAAGTCACTCAGGGTAAAATTGCAGGTGAGAATTTCCTCTTCTCTTACAAATAAAATTGCTCCAATGAATCAAATGCAAAACAGAAAATCTGGCAACAGGAAACTTTGTTTATTATCTGGTTTGTAAGTCTAAAGCAATTTTAATGTAATAATCTTTTTTTTAATACTCTGAAGTTCATACAAATTCTTCAGAAAATTGTGTTACCACTGCCATTCAGTAATAAGCAGCACAAAAATTAAGATTAAAAACATAGCAAGAATAAGCATATTGCATATATACCTAAAGACAAGTGATACCAACCTTCTAAAGGGAATACTGCAACCAAAATCATCATTTACTTCAAAAGAATGATATTACAAAGAAACCAAAGAGTGGTCTCACCAAAGTGACAAACTAATTTAAGCCAAGAAGCAGGGCAAAAGGCAGCAACCCCCGCTCATCCCAGTACAAAGCAATATTAATTCGGTGTTTTATACTGATAATTGAAAAAGTTACAGAAAAGATTAAACACCAGACAATGCAATGATTGCATGACATAGGTGAGGAAAAATGGACTAAATAGAACAAGGTTATCAAGGATTTGTTCAACAAGTCATTTTTCTTTAAGGTTCCAGAACTATTTCCGAAGTTATTGACATAGAACAAAAAACCGTTGAGTGAAAGAAAACACAAAATACTTTATCGCATTAAGAAAGTTTTCCAAAATCTATTTACAAATTGGTCATTGAACATTTCTGTGCAAAGCCAAAATCTCTAACTTTCTTAAAAAATATCTGTAGGCATTAGATGCAATAGATTTCGCTGAAAGATAAAAACACACCTTAGTGCTCAGTCTTACCTCAGCCCATTTAAGAATACAAGTCATGCAGAATGTATGACTGCAGTTCTCAGGAAACCCAATCTCTTGTTCTAGAAGGCAGTTCAGGCAGATGGGGCACGTGTTGCCATCATGCAATAAAGCAGAACAGGAACAGTTTTCCTCGTTTTCTTCACCTGGTATTATTAACATTGACACTTTGAAGTTTTGACAGTTTTTGAAACAAAGTCCTTCTAGATTTGAATAATAAAGAAATAAGAATTTTTTCAATACTCCTCTGGCCCACTCCTTATCTGCATTAGACTTGAAAACTTGAATTAAACTTACTTGTAACAACAGAAAACTGTGTTTCAGGTGAAAAAAGCTAAGCAACATATTTCACAGACTACTGTACCAGTAGCCATTAAAACAAAGGAAAGTTAATTACAGGGATATTTCAATAAAGCAGACACCACAGTGCTTCCTATTCGTTATGCCATCATTTAGACATAACACCCATAAGTTCTTTCTCCTTGCGCGCTTGTACTCTCTCCATGACATAAATTGCACCAGCATATTTTATATTCATTATCTTATATACACAAGGTCTACCTTTAGTTTTTCTTTCTTAAAATTATCTTAATCTGAATACCTTCAAATATTTACCTAATCATGTACATTAAATAAAAAATTTTGTTAAGAGTTAGAAAGTGTTTTCAGAATGCAATAATGTATGAACTCTTCTTAAAGAAATTTTACTCTGAATTAATTATTTTCTCTGAACAGCAATTGCTATCGACATTTTTGTTTTGCTGCTAGAAGTTACCAAGTAATAACAAGAGAAGAGACAGGAAATTATTTGGGGGCCTCACAGGCCAGAGCCAAATATTATGAGATAGTGGTTATGTTTATACAACTTCTTTCAAAATAAGCAACATACTGAGAGAGCAAATGAAAAAAAAATCAGACCTTCAGAACTTGAACCTGAATAATATGCTTCCATATTTTCACACACACAAACTTTACCTTCCATGCCTTCATGCGTCTGATCCTCAGTATCTTGAATACATTGTTTTCTGTTCTTCATCTTACAAAATGTAGTCTGAAAAATAGAAGCAGTTCATTGAGATTGCAACTTGAAAATAAAATTAATGAGTATTCTCCATTGTAGAGTAGAAACACATAATATTAGAAGTTAAGAGAGCATTTATAATGTCTGCAATTTATAAGTATCGTTATTGCTGTCTAGCAACCGATGTTTCCAACTTCAAAATTTGCTTTTGTTCAACAGATAAAAAGTTTCTGCAGTGTTTTAAGACTACCACTGGTGCTTTTATTTTTAAAAATTAAACATATTGCTAAGTTTCCATGCAAATCACCCCATGCAACACTGCAGGAACGAACACCTGCAAACTGCCCTATGCAAATAGTTGAAGCAACAAACTTTAAACACTCAAGCGCCAGAAGAGTTAGCTGTTTTACAAACCTAGTCACTACAGTAGTGGCAAGTGAGAAAAATGAAAGCAGCTTATATATGACAAAAGCAAGAAGGAAATAATTCAAACTATTTGCAGTCCAACCCAAGCCCCAAAGGGAACAACAGGTTTCTTCAAAACTACATGAAGCTTTAAAAATTGATAGTATTTAAAAGGACAAACTAAAACTTCACAAGACATTGAAGAAATCAGAGATTACAAAGTTCTGCTACTTAAGCATTCAAACCTGAATCAAACCGAGGTTTACTCTCGCGCTTCGACACCTTTGCTAGACAAAGCAGCAGGATAGAGCTGAAACCGCCACAATCACACTCCTCAAATAAACTTCTTATTTCACTCAGAAGCAATACTTTCCCCCTACCATCAAGACAGAAGAGGGAGACACAGAATTTGCTTCCCCAAACTTTTCTTCTGATCAAGTCTTTATTGCTCGATCTTGGGAGCAGAAAGTGTTTTAATGATCATTTTTTAATACTAAGAAAAGCAACTCTGCTGCATATTTCTATCACATATACTTCTCATTTTCTTAGGCAACCCAAGAAATCATGACTCTGATCTGTGAGTCTCAAACACAGACTGTTTGCTAAAGAAATGATTAAAACTGTGAAACTAATTAAAAATCTGCAATTAGAATTCAAAATGGCTTCAATGTTCCTATTAGAAATTACTTTTTGATTCCTGAAAGAGAACATGGGAATCAATCCAACTGCGGGTAGGGGAAAGTGAAGGGACAAGGAAAGAAAAGCCTAGCTATAACAGATTTTCCCCCTACACTGCTATCACATTTTTATACCTAAAATTATTTCAAAAGATATCATTAATACATGGCATCAACTGTAGGCTGGTTACCAGCACTAATACTAACACTGAGTTGTAGTCAATGCTGTAAGCTACAGGCATGTTCTTTTGGCAAAACTACTGTCCAGACCTCCACCATTTGCAAGCTAAGCAAAACTAAACCAACCCAAGTCAAGCTGCTCCTTTAAAGTTTAATGCCTTCAACAAGCAAAATCTGCATGAAATTAGGGCAGGTAAGACCACCAAAACCACATATGAATTTAGGAGATTGTGGTCTGTTGCTTTCACTCTGATTTGTACAAGTGGCTTTGGCCCCAGAAAATGTAAATCATGCAGTAGTGTGCGGTATAGATGCTTTTATACATAAAATATAACATCCCTTCTGTTCTACATCTTAAAACCTCATCAATGCTTTACACAAGCAGAAAATTCCACAAGCTATACTCAAACATTTTTCAACCCTACAAGTCCCAGGACACCTTATAGCTGAATCAGTTTCAAGACAATATCAAGAATCCTGTACTCTGCATACATACACAGAAAAGTATTTAAATAAACACAACCTAGATACCAAATTAAGGAGTAGCTTTTGAGTTCACACTTATTATAATAGAAGTCTTGAATTCACTAAAACAGATTGCAGAAACAGAACACAGAACCTCTTCAGATTTGTTTTTCCCCAGAAAAAGTAATATTGTATTCCATTGTACTCTTTCTAGACACAGACATCCCAGCAATTCTGAAACACTTCCAATAATTAGAAAACCAGAAATCCTAAAATTCTGACAGAATATCAGTAAATCCAAGACATGCAGCAACTGAAAACATTTATGTGGTTACCCCATTCTTCTCACAAGCCTATTATTTAAACAGATACTGAGTGCTGCTAATGCTTTTCACAGATCACTTTGCACAGCACAACTTTGTCAGTTTGATATTTATTGCATTTCACACAACACAGTAGTGAAATTTGATACTACTGAATTTTTTATAAATAAAGAAAAAGATATCTAAATTTACACACTATTTAACAAATTAACTTTGAAAAAACTGTTTTCTCCACTTCTTTAAAAGGGCCATCACAGGCATTAAAACAGAAGAGTTAACACTGGACTGTTACTACATTTATATGATTAAAAGAAGAGTTAGGAAAAGAGAACCTGGTGGTTTAGAAAGAGCAGACAGCATAGAAAACGGAATACTTATTTTTCCCAAAATGTGACAAGCCAGCAACAAGCACTATACTATGTTGCGACCAAAAATCAATCAATCAATCAATCAATAAATAAAAGAAAAAAAAAATCTACCATCTCCAAACTCCAGATAATCCTTTCTAAGAATGCCAAGACAGCATAGCATTACAGCCAACATGGTACTTTTCTGGTGCTTGTACATTCTCAATGGAATTACTTTCTAAGAAAAATATCTTACTTTATTTCATATTTGACATAAAGACAAGGGTATTCTAGCATATTTAACTGAGAACAGTGATCAGAGATACTAGCACAGGTACACAACACTACCTCATTTCTCTGTTCTCTTAAAATAATTAAGTTTCCAGGCTATTCTTCCAAGGAAATGAAATTCCTGTTCTTATTTTCATGGAATGCATCTACCAACAAACGCGCTTAAAGAGAGGTAACTGTAGATTATGGTAATAGATTTGTCACTGTCCATCTGACAAAGCTTCAAGAAGAACTTAAACAATTCCATAAAGCAGACTAAGTACCATGCACACATGAAACTATTTCCTATATCACAAAAATAGAAGTGTGATTCACACAAACTACTTCATACAACTCACAACCTGAAAACAGAGATGTATTTCCACACTAATTCATTGTGCACATGGAAAGAAAAGACTTGGTCTGTTCAAAGTCATGCCTCTTAATTCCTTAATGAATCTGTTACATTAAAATCTTAAAAAGACATAAAAAAAAAAGGATTAAAAAAATCACAGAAGCCTAGTTATAAGTGTCACATGAAATTAGCACATGCCTCCTTTTTGCCTAACTACAAGACAAAGTCTTTACAAGCATTCTTTATACACTGTAAATAAAATGCATCAACTAAATACCCTCTTCCTCCAACATAATAACAGTCTAGAGACTCGGCTACATAGAAGTATCCCAGTTCAGCTGGAAAAGGGGATGGAAATCAAGAACACATGCAACAAAGTCTCCAGTGTGAAAGTGAAAAATTATGTTCAAGATACCTTACTCATTTCTGCAACAGATTTAACTCAGGAAACATTTGTAATCAAACTTTCAGCTTCTTAGATACATGTTGCATTAATACTCAAGAGTAGTAAGTTATTTTGACTGTTCTGTTTCTATAAAAAACAATTTATTTTAAAAATTATTCGGGGGACTCATTAGTCATGATTTGATTTTTGATTTTGATTTTTTAAGAACTCAAGAAACAATCAGTTTCAATTATGAAACAACAGTCAGACATATATTTAGTATACAGAATTTATTTGCTTAATAAACAACAATAACAACCTTTACTTCCATCAAAATTATGGGCAGTAATAAGTAGGATTCTGTTTCTCCCTATGCATTTTCACGGTCATTAAGAAACCTGGGAAAGAGGTTTAAGCTGCTCCCTCAGCAAATACATTTTTAAAGAAAACAGATCTCAACAACTAGTCACATTCACAAAAACAGATTTTTGGTGGTGGTGGTTTTCATTATTGTAATTTTAGTAGTTAATGACAGAACACATATCTTCTGAAGTTCCTCATATGGGCTCATCCTAATCTCTGGATCATTACTGGGAAAACATCCAGCTGCTGATTAAAATTTTTAAACATTTTGCCAGAACTTTTGTGCTGTCTTAAGAGATGGGCTGAGAACGCACTTGTAATTTGCAATGGCAATTGAACATTTGAAAAGCTTTTGAACTACTTGTATCACCATGTCTAACACAACACATACAGAAAAAAAAAAAAAATTAAAAACCCCACATTACTGGGTATTGTTTAAGTACATCAAGAACCTTCACAGTTGTTTAATTTTTTTTATTTGGAAAAACTTCTGATTTGTCAGAAGAGCCTGGAAAGTAGACTTGCTTCAAGTGACAATTGGGTAATGTTTGTCCTTCAATAAATGAGGGCTACATTGGGAATCTGGAAGCACTTATCCTGGATTTTCTCCTTTGTGCAGTAAAATCTCTTGGCCCAGCACATTAGTGAGAATAGAACTGACGGTGACACTCAAAAGCAGGCTTTTAAAGAGGATCTTTACTCTCTGTAAGCTCAAATTGCACCTTGTCTGCATTCCCAAATCAAATGCAATAGAACCAACAAAGATGAGGAGAAAGAAAAAGACCAGTGCTATGCCTTGGGGAATAAAGAGAGAAATCTTTTTCTATAGGTGGTTTAAGCCTATTCATGTAGATCCAGTGTCTTGGAAAGAATCACTGCTATTCAGGCAAGGAGATACTGCTGATTCAAAGACTCTTTCCAGACCCTCTAAGGATGAAATTACCCAAGAGAGCTGAGCTAATCTAACAGCTTGCTGCCACCCTAAGAAGCAGCTATGTTTCTCACCACTAGTGATGGTGAGCAGACTCACTAAGAGCCATAGGTGTCCAAAGACATTGCAAGTGACAGAATGAGGGAGGGAAGAAACAAAAAGGCATTCCCCTTTTGGCAGTGGTAAGGTAAAAAAAAAGCTCAGACTTTGCTGTCAAACTCCCTTCAAGGACACAGCAGTATCTATCTAGATCAGCTGCCAGGTCCATGAAAATGCAAGGTAAAGTCACAGGAGAAAACTACCAAAACCAAATGGCTAGAACTATACCA